TAAAAATTTTGAATATGCACGATTGTGTTTAATAATTAATATCTCAAAAACTAAAAGATATTTTGCAAAACGGGCATTTTCATTAAAAAGCTTATAATTTTGTGTATGGATGCTGATAATTTCGTAGCGATTTAATAAAACACCGATTTATTACAATTTTTTGAAAATCACCGAAAATATTTAATTTTTCGAAACATTTAGAATATGCACGATTGTGTTTAATAATTAATATCTCAAAAATTAAAAGATATTTTGCAAAACGGGCATTTTCATTAAAAAGCTTATAATTTTGTGTATGGATACTGATAATTTCGTAGCGATTTAATAAAACACCGATTTATTACAATTTTTTGAAAATTACCGAAATTATTTGTGTCTTCTAAAAATTTTAAATATGCACGATTGTGTTTAATAATTAATATCTCAAAAACTAAAAGATATTTTGCAAAACGGTCTTTTTCATTAAAAAGCTTATAATTTTGTGTATGGATGCTGATAATTTCGTAGCGATTTAATGAAACCCTAATTTATTACAATTTTTTGAAAATCACCGAAACTATTTGTTTCTTCTAAAAATGTTGAGTAAGCACGATTGTGTTTAATAATTAATATCTCAAGAAGTAAGGGATATTTTGTAAAACGGTTTCTTTCATTGAAAAGCTTATAATTTTGTTTACAAGTCCTGACAATTTCGTAGCGATGTATTGAACCCCCGATTTATTACAATTTTTTGAAAATCACCGAAAATATTTGTGTCTTCTAAACATTTAGAATAAGTACGATTGTGTTCAATAATCAATATCTCAAAAACTAAAAGATATTTTTTAAAACGGTCTTTTTCATTGAAAAGCTTATTATTTTCTTTACGAGTACTGATAATTTCGTAGCGATTTAATGAAACCCCGATTTATTACATTTGAAAATCGCCACAAGAAGTAACTAACATACATGCCAATTATCTTGAAAAAATATTTTCATTTCCGGAACACGTAGATTTCGATCAAATGCACAGAAATCAAGTGTATGAGTGGTATGTTTCTGCTTTTACAAATAGAATTCTTACCCCAGAGGAGGCGTTTGTTGATGAAGAATATCTCAAGATTCTCCATAACGGCAGAAACACTGCGCCAGGATATGAAAAATTTTAAAAAGCCTCGATCTTAAAACACGTGAATATATCAGAAAAATCCTAAATTATTGTCTAATAAACCAATATTATCCAAAAGAATGGAAAAGGGCAATAATAATATGTATCCCGAAGAACAATGGACCAACAGACTAACTATCGTCCGATTTCGCTCTTATCGATTTTAGGCAAGATGTTTGATCCTATAATTTTAACACGGCTTCTTGAGATTGTAAATCATAATATTCTGGAATATCAATTTGGTTTTCAACAAAACAGAAGTACCGTCCACCCATTAAGTGTGTTAATCTCGAACTGTCAAGTAGCACATCAACAGAAATTACGATCAGCTATAATCCGTCAGTTTTTATCATACCGAACTTCACAGGTCAAAGTCCAGAATTTCTTATCAAGAGTCTTTTTCATGCAACAAGGTTTTCCTCAAGGCTCACCTTTGTCTCCTTCCCTTTACAATGTTTTCTGCCACGACATATATAACATCGATCCCATGTATTTTAACAACGAATCCTACATCCTCCAATATGCCGATGACACTGCCATAACAGCACATGTCAAAAACTTTCCAGATACGATTAACAAGGCGCAAAATACAGAATACAGTTAAATTCAAGCAAAACTCAGTTAACAATACATGGTTTGGGCATCAACGTTTCTCCATCACCTACTGCCAAATATCTGAGTATGCTGTTGGATGGTAAATTCAAATTTAATATCCATGCCATCAAAACAAAGATGAAATGCAGAGTGAGAGAACAAAGGCATTTCACTCAAAGTAGCAACTCAAATTTACAAATCCATCTGCAGGCCCTTGATCGAATACGGAATAGTATTTACACGGTTTTCTACTCCAAGAACAATACAACATCTAGAAGTAGCAGAACGTACTACGCTAAGAAAGATTACAAGAATTAGACATCCAAACAACCCCTTGCATAACCCTTCCAACCAAGTTTTGTATGAAACGACTGGAATTACACCAATTCAGGAACGAGGATTGCGACTAGCAGAGACGATTAGCAAGAAATTTCCAGAGTCGGTGCTTGAAACATTGATGAGGACGAGTATAGTCAACGTTCCAATATTTCCCACACTTTTTCACAATATTTCAAGAATGAAAAATACTGAATAAGAAATAGTCAAATTGTACATTATTTATCTCAGGCTGAAAGACTATAGAATATAGAGAATATAGTTTATAAGAAGAATATAGTTTATATTCTTTCACATTGGTAATGTATTATATTTTATTTTATTGTTTTATCTATGCGGTCCTAAATAAATTTCATTATTATTATTAGTTTCTTCTAAAAATTTAGAATAAACATGATTGTGTTTAATAATTAATATCTCAAAAAGTAAAAGATATTTTTTAAAACGGTCTTTTTTATTGAAAAGCTTACAATTTTGTTTATAAGTGCTGATAATTTCGTAGCGATTTAATGAAACCCCGATTTATTATAATTTTTTGAAAATCACCGAATATATTTGTTTTTTCTAAAAATTTATAATAAGCACGATTGTGTATAACAATTAATAACTCAAAAACTAAAAGATATTTTTTGAAACGATCTTTTTCATTGAAAACCTTATAATTTTGTATATGGATGCTGATAATTTCGTAGCGATTCAATAAAACCCCGATTTATTACAATTTTTTGAAAATCATCGAACATAATACTTTCTTCTAAAACTTTTGAATAAAAACGACTGTGTTTAATCATTAATATCTCAAAAACTAAAAGATATTTTGCAAAACGGTCTTTTTCATTGAAAAGCTTATAATTTTGTTTGTTAATGTTGATAATATTATAGCGATTCATTAAAACCCAGATTTATTATGATTTTTTGAAAATCATCAAAAATATTAGTTTCTTCTTAAAATTAATAATAATAAGCATGATTGTGTATAACAATTAATAACTCAAAAACTAAAAGATATTTTGCAAAACGGTCTTTTTCATTGAAAAGCTTATAATTTTGTATATGGATGCTAATAATTTCGTAGCGATTTAATGAAACCCCAATTTATTAAAATTTTTTGAAAATCACCGAAAATATTTGTTTTTTCTAAAAATTTTGAAGAAACACGATTATGTTTAATAATTAATATCTCAAAAACTAAAAGATATTTTGCAAAGCGGTCTTTTTCATTGAAAAGCTTACAATTTTGTTTATGAGTGCTGATAATTTCGTAGCGATTTAATGAAACCACGATTTATTACAATTTTTTGAAAATCATCTAAAATATTAGTTCGTTTTAAAAATTTAGAACAAGCACGATTGTGTTTAATAATCAATATCTCAAAAACTAAAAGATAATTTGTAAAACGGTCTTCTCCAATGAAAAGCTTATAATTTTGATTACAAGTGCAGGTAATTACATAGCGACTTAATGAAACCTCGATTTATTACAATTTTTTGAAAATCATCAAAAATATTAGTTTATTCTAAAAATGTACAATAAGCATGATTGTGTTTAATAATTAATATCTCAAAAACTAAAAGATATTTTTTAAAACGGTCTTTTTCATTGAAAAGCTTATTATTTTGTGTATGGATGCTGATAATTTCGTAGCGATTCAATAAAACCCCGATTTATTACGATTTTTTGAAAATCATGGAAAATATTAGTTTCTTCTAAAAATTTTGAATAAAAACGATTGTGTTTAATAATTAATATCTTAAGAACTAAAAGATATTTTGCAAACCGGTCTTTTTCATTGAAAAGCTTATGATTTTGTTTATTAATGTTGATAATATTATAGCGATTTATTAAAACCCTGATTTATTATGATTTTTTGAAAATCATCAAAAATTTTAGTTTTTTCTAGAAATTTATAATAAGCACGATTGTGTATAACAATTAATAACTCAAAAACTAAAAGATATTTTACAAAACGGTCTTTTTCATTGAAAAGCTTATAATTTGGTGTATAGATGCTGATAATTTCGTAGCGATTGAATAAAACCCCGATTTATTACGATTTTATGAAAATCATCGAACATATTAGTTTATTCAAAAATTTTTAATAAAAACGATTGTGTTTAATAATTAATATCTCAAAAACTAAAAGATATTTTTTAAAACGGTCTTTTTTATTGAAAAGCTTATAATTTTGTATATAGATGCTGATAATTTCGTAGCGATTCAATAAAACCCGGATTTATAATAATTTTTTGAAAATTATCAAAAATATTAGTTTCTTCTAAAAATTTTGAATAAAAACGATTGTGTTTAATAATTAATATCTCAAAAACTAAAATATATTTTGCAAAACGGTCTTTTTCATTGAAAAGCTTATAATTTTGTTTATTAATGTTGATAATATTATAGCGATTTTTTTCTAAAAATTTAGAATAATCTTCATTGTTTTTAATTAAAGATTGTTTAATTTTTAAACAATCTTCTTCATTAAAAAACATAACTTTATTTACGAATACTAATAATTTTATTCAATTTCTTTCGCGATTTTGAACTGAGTCATTAAAATAAACGAGCATATTTTCAAATTTCGATTAAAATCGTTTTAATTTTTTGGTGTGCTAATTATCTACTTTAAACGACTCGGGTTTTTTTAATTGTCTTAAAGATATCTCCAAAAAACGACTTGAAAGAAAAAGTTTAATAACTTTTTTAGTGTTTATACTAAGTGGTCGAGGATTAAACGACCATTAGCCTCAGAAATCGTGACTAAACAACTTTTTTTTAGGAACCGATTTTTTATTACGCTCTCCAAAAACGTTTTGTTCTATTACTTATTTCTCAAATGCCAATTAAATTTTTTTAAAATCATTTAATAAGGTTTTTTAAACTATATTATTTTTTTATAAATTTGTTATTTAAAAATTTTACCTTCATGATTTTGTCCACTTTAAATTTTCTTTGCACAATTATTAAACATTAGAACTCGAAATGAAACTTTTTATTAATTCAAATTAATTTTGAGTGTTTTGAAAAGTCTTGAAATTTAGTTTTAAAGACGTCCACTCGGCGCGAAATCGCAACAGCGACTGTTAACTGAAGAGAAACGGATCCGAGTTTTTATAGTAAAGTATACATAGAAGATACCGTTTAATTTTTTCCTGGTTCTCTTCATTTTTTTCGGCCCACAAACGAAGAAAACTCACTTCAAATTCATAATATTTTCTTATTATAATCGGTGAGGAGGTTTTATGTTTTATTTAAATTATAATTTCTTTCTTAACTCCATCTTTATTTTTTATTAAACTTAATAGTGGGTCGAAGAAAGTCTAAAAATCTTTTTTTTTAACCTTTTTTTCCAAAGAATAACCAGTATAAGTGTTGTAATGGTACATTGAGCGCCGGTTTTTCGGCATTTTTTGCTTTAAATCTACTTACTTAGAGATCTTAGAGAAAGTACCAAACTACTTATGCGGTTATACGGCCAAAAAAATCTGTTCTATTTACATATTTTTATTTATAACGTAAAAAATTTCAAATTCTTCACGTTGTTATTAATTATTTCATTATAAACCAACAATAAAAATCAATGAATATTGATTTAAGCGAATAGAAAGCGAGAAATCAATTCTTCTTCTCTGCCAATTTGGTTTTAGCGTTGGAGTTAAAAGCAAAACCCGGTTGTTATTGAAATATTAACGTGGGCGTTCACTAAATAATTCAAAGGAGGACGATTGACGACTTTAAACTGAAGAAAAAAACCGGGGGCTTTGCCTCTTTGCCACTCTTGATGAGGATGTGAAAAGTTTTAAAAAAATCGCTTCCGGTTTATTTATTGAATTAAGAAACGATTTATATCGCGAGTACTTAAGAGGCTACTTTACCATACAGCTCGGCAAATTACAAAAAACATACATTATTTATGAAAATATTTGGATGAAATTTTGTACATAACTTCTTCTAACAATTCTACATAACGCATGGTGAAAATTTTTAAAGTTTTCCAAAAAAAGGGGTTTTTTTCCTCAATATTATACAATTTGGTCGTTCTTTTTTAGCTTGNGAGGATACTTTAATTAATAATTGGTGATATTTCCACAAGGATCCTTCAAGAAATGAATTTTATAGCGAATTTTGAAAATTATCGATGAAAATTGCAACATCGAAAATTTTATCAAAACTTCAAATATTGTTTTTTCAAAAACTAATAATTATTTTTTAAAACGTGTTGGTTCATTGGAAAGAGGACACTCTTATTAACACTTTTGGATATTTTCATACTCATATTCCAAGATGTGGATTTTTAAAACTTAATCGGCGAAAGTTGCAAAATTCGAAAAAATTGTCGATTATTTCAAAAAGTTATTTCTCAAAATCTAAAAGCGATTTTTCAAAACTGCTTGTTGCATTAAAAACAGGATACTTTAGTTAATAATTGGTGATATTTCCACAAGGATCCTTCAAAAAATAAATTTTATAGCAAATTATTGGGTCTTCTCAGTTGGGCCTTATTTTTTTAAGAAGTGTGAGCCGTGTTATGGGACAGCGGGTAAGGGAAAGGGGAATGATGAGATTTTTTAAGGCGTTTTTGGGGAAGTTCATAGTTGCTTTAAGGGATAAAGATTGTAGACGGGAGTTTATAGGAGGAATCTTTGTAAGGTCGTAAAGGAGTTCGTTGGAAGGGTTGAAAAGTGGGTTGTGAGGGTGTCTAATGCGGGTGATAATTCTCAGGGATGCTCTCTCTGCTACTTCCAGATGGTACTGTGATCCTCTCGGCGCTTCAGTCATGATTAATGAAGCATATTCGATAATAGGTCGGCATATTGAGGTGTATATGTGAGTAGCGCATTTGATGGATATCCCTCGGCCTCTATATGCGAGTGAGCGGAAGTGTTTGGCGCGGTTTTTGACTTTCATTTTTACCTTGATGGCGTGGGTAGAGAATTTAAGGGTTCTATCCAAGGTAATGCCGAGGTAGTTACAAGTTGGTGATGCTGTGATAGGAGAAGATTGAATTATTATTGTGGGAGGAGCAACGCGAATAGGGAGGAAGGGGATGAAGAATTGGGTTTTGGAAGGATTTATCAGGATACGCCATTTTCGGTACCATTCCTCTATGTTTTGGATGAGCGTCTGCAGCCTTAGGATTGATGATGGAATGTCTACATCATGTGCGACGAGAGTAGTATCATCGGCATAAAGTAGGGCGTAAGACATCGGATCGAAGACGTCTGGGTTGTCGTTGTAGATGTCATGGCAGTAGACGTTGTACAGTGCTGGCGAGATGGGAGAGCCTTGAGGGAGACCTTGTTGAGCGGTGAAACTGTGAGAGTAGTAGTTCTTCACTTTAACCAATGAGGAGCGGTCTGAAAGAAATTCTTTTAGCAGGTTAAGAAGATAAGATGGGATTTTCAACATAGCTAGCTTGTACAGTAGACCTCTGTGCCATACGGAGTCGAATGCCTTCCGAACATCCAGGAAGACTGCGGCGGATTGTTGTTTTTGGAAACGTGCGACTTGGAAGTTTGAGACAAGCACTGCCAAGGGATGAGATGTAGATCTACCTTGTTGGAATCCAAATTGGTATGACGGAATCCTCCTTGCAACAACATCGAGCAGCTTGTTCTTCAAGTGCACCTCGAAAAGCTTCCCCATTACGGGTAGCAATGAGATAGGACGGTAGTTCGCAGGGTCGGATAGAGAAGAATCTTTCTTGGGGATACATATGATTATAGAGGTCTTCCAATCTTGTGGGAAATGCTGGGTGGTAAGGCAATAGTTGTAAATTTTTCTTATGTAGGCGTGGATATCAAGATCCAGCTTCCTTAAGATTTCCCTTGAGATGTTGTCGTATCCAGGGGCTGTGTTGGTTCCTCTGTTAAGAAGTGTGAAGTATTCTTCTTCCTGCATGAGAGCATCTTGAGGTGTTTCGGACGAATTGAGAAAGGCGTGTTGGTACCAATTGTCTATTGTGTTTTTGTTGTGAGGGCAGAACAGGGCCTCATTGCTGAAGGAAAACACCCTCTCAAGGTATTCAGCGTGGATATTTACGATTTTTTCCGGACTAGAGTGTGAGCAGCCATCCGTAGGGTCAATAAGCTCCTGGGTTTCTGGGGACTTTTGGTACTTCGAAAGTTTGCGGACTTCTTGCCAGTAGTTTTTACCCTTGCTTCTGTTGATTTTATCACAGGCCTCAATGTATTTTTCACTTCTGAATTGCTGCACTAGCTTTTGGATATTTTTATTAAGCTCATTGAACATTCTTTTCAGAGCAGGCTCCTCATAGGATCTAAAATCGCGGTAGAGTCGTCTCTTTTCTTTAATTAAACGGAGAATAAATGGTGGCAGAGGGAAATTGTAATGTTTCTTGTTGTAAGAAGGGCTCGCTTCATCCACCAAATTAAGCAAGCGTTTATTAAAGGTTGCGATAGACTCGGGTGTAATAACAGGGTTAGATCTCACATATTCCTTTATTCCTGCGTTCACTCTTTCCATATTACAAAGTTTATAGTTTTTGATCAGAGTAGGAGCTACTTTAGGTATTCGAGTGGTTGTATTAATGGAGATCACAAGACCCAGATGGTCAGAGCACAGATCAGGAATGACATTAACAGACGTGATGAGCGGTCTTATGTTGTTTGTGCAGAAGATTAAATCAGGCTTGGAATTGGGATTATTTGCCATGGCAAACGTCGGAGGTGTTGCGATGAGCACAAAATTTGACATAGTCACAAATTGGTTGATGTGTCTCTTTTTGGCTGGGTTTGGGTTAGTCACCGATTATTAGACAATTGTCGTACCGTGCAGCCATGTTAAATATTGTTTCTTCTATCTCACTAAATGGATGTATATAAACCAACAATATATGTACTCTTTCTGTGCCAATCATAAAAGTAAAATGGAGGGCGTTGTTTAATGGAGAATTTATTCTGGGAGGATTAGCTTTTCCAATTTGTAACGCAGGATCGCCCATAACCACCGCTCCATCTCTGACACCCCTGTTCACAATATTTCCCAATTCTTGGATCATTGTCCAATCCCTGAAGTTAATTAGCGATTTGGCTTTAGTTTCAACGAACATCGCACCGTGAATGCGGTTTACAGAAATATTGTTTCCGATTAGGTGTTTTTTTGGGAAATAACTGTTAATGTTTGCATACAGTAACTTTATCTCATTGTCAGTCATTGCTGATCTTGCAAAATCATGGTTTGGGAGCCGTGGATCGGTTCGGTGGGTGAAGGTTTATTTGCGTCTTTTAGGTCAATCATGATTATATACATGTAGCTTCCCGAAAAAGCAACGATTGTATCAATTTGATGATGCTCAATGAATCTACGTTTTAGAGCATTTAAAAGCTCTTGTCGATCCCGCGGCTTGGGAGAGTTGATTTTTGTGAGATAAGTGTCGATAATTTGATCGTGGATCGTAACAGGATTATGAATGCGGCTTTCTTTGGTGGTTTTGTTAATGATTTCCTCTGATTTTTTGTTAGCCGATTTAATTCTAACATTGGGGACGCCTTGTATAGGTGCTTTGGGAGAAGCAAATGATTCTGAAGAAATGGATTTTATATGAATTTTTAAAACTTAATCAACGAAAATTGCAAAATTCAAAAAAATTTTCGATTATTTCAAAAATTCATTTCTCAAAATCTAAAAGCGATTTTTCAAAACGGCTTGTTGCATTCAAAAGAGGATACTTTAATTAATAATTACTGATAACTCCACAAGGATCTTTCGAAAAATAAATTTTATAGCAAACTTTGAAAATTATCGATGAAAATTGCAACATCGAAAATGTTATCAAAACTTCAAATATTGTTTTCTCAAAAACTAAAAGTTATTTTTCAAAACGTGTTGGTTCATTGGAAAGAGGACTCTCTGATTAACAGTTTCNTTGGGGACGCCTTGTATAGGTGCTTTGGGTCGATTTTTGCATATCATAGACCAGGCACTATGGCCTTCA